TTATTAACAATTATTAGTTACATGTTTTATACAATTGTTACAGCACTAGTTAGAGGACTATATTTAACCCATCGATCATGAAGTACCAGAGCGTAACAACTTGTATTTGGAGAAATATCTTTATTAGTTTCGAATTCTAGTCGAATATCAACTGAACCAGATTTAAGACTTTCATTCTGATGAGAACAATCAATAACAACTAAAGGTGCAAATTTCTTGAATTCTTCAGGTGTATAAATGGGTTCGTTTTCCTTTTCATAATACGATCGTTGAAACTTTGCATACATGTCATACAAGGTTGCTATTTGATTGTTCTCAAAATTTATATTCAAATTATCATAAGGAAACATCTCAGAATTAAGATACAGTTTCATATTGATTAAATTGCAATGATCAAACTGACTAAAATTTCTATTCAATTTATTTTTACGATTACTATGGAATCCTACAATTACAAATCTAGGTTTCTCAAGTTGTGTTGCAGTCTTGATATTCCAAGTGTGACGCTGAGTTTCTTGTAGAAGAGGATACTCATGTAGTTCCCAACCCCTAAATGGAACTTCTAATTCCTTGTTCCTAGCTACATAGTCAACCAATTTCAACCTTTCCACATCTGACACTGATATATGAGGCATTTTCCACAATACTTTATTTAATACAACTTTAACTGGCTCGTTTTCGTTAGAATTTATTATAGCGTTGATATCCGAATTTGAACGAATTAACACCAACTCCTGTCGCAGATTTAAAATAATTTTCTTAAAGTCTTCGCAGAATCCGAAAATTGTAGATAAATCAATTATAACATTAAAATTTCCTTTATCGTCAACTATAGGTGACCGTTCATTGTTATTTAGAAACCATCCACCATTTTGTAGATATTGAGTACCACATCTATTGAATGACACGTATCCTTTTAGAATTGAGGTTAGACCTGGATGACGGATGCGATCTATTACATATCCACCCATTTCATATCTGATTTCATCAAATAAAAGCATGACACCGTTATTCACAAATGTAGCAGTTTTGGAGGCTGTATTATCAGTTTTCAGTAATTTACCTTCAATGTACAATGAACTTTCACTAGGTAATGTATAGACATCCTGCTGTTGTATTGGAATACGAATTTCATCATTATTATTCAAAGACGTAGATGCGTACGGTTGATGAGTATGTTTCTCAGAGCTAATAACAGTGTTATCAAAATAAGCTCTCTCGTTGACATTTAATATATCCATTTTTATTATCACTTCTTAAAAATTACCTTAAAACCAAGAGACTCAAGAAACTTTCGATTTCTTATTGTTATTGGTTTGATGACTCGTGTAGAACAGACGACTGGTTTTAAATGTATACCTCTTATATAGTTTCTGTGACTAATTGAACCGCCACGTTTGTTGTACCTTATTACCATTGCACTTATTAATTACGTTTCCTTCAAATGTAGACTTAATGACACCACCTCTCGTCCGAAATTGATAAGTTCACCATCTTGACTGACTATATTAACAACAATCTGATCGATAATTCGAGTGTTGATGGGTAAATAGACAACGTTACTTGGAGTCTCAATAATTTTGAAACCTGCTGGTACTGTAGGAAAAAATTCATGTATAACGTGAGCTTGCCTATCATTAATATAGGATCCACCCACAATATTGCATTCTATGCAGATGGTATTTACACTGAAAATATCGACTGGAAAATCTGACTCATGATTGCCAAATGCAGCCAATTTTCGTGGTTTGAAACCAAGCAAATGTCCTATTGAATCTTGTTTAGTAAAATCGATGTCTTCACTACATTTGATTCTACACTTCAGTGTTATTGTTGGCTTTAATAGAAATGAGCTTTTGAAACCCTTTAGGAATCCTCACTGTTGTATTGTTATCATTATCAAGACATCTGGAGTCACCTAATTTTTGTTGTAGATATTTATTTATTGCTTCAATATCGTAGTTACCTTCTGTAATCTCAATATATTTACCCTTGGAACCAAAATAAAATTTGTTGTTCTTATTTTTCTCGATATTTGGAATTGAATTGAAGGATTTGAAGTTTATTAACCCTAAGACGTAGTTTTTACTATCATCCAAAATAATTGGAGGATTATACCTAGAAGTAAGTGNTTACAGCTTATGCTAAAAAACAGGTCTGAACCAATAGAAAACAGATCTGAAGCAGTAAAACTTTGTTTTATAGCTAGAAATATGTTAACAAAACCTTTTATGGTAAATACGTGATCGATGATTATTATCTAAAATATTACTTATAGTAAATGACTACTCATTGTATCAGAAGAAATCATCAACAACCCTACTAATAATATATTTGTACATATATAATACTTCTAGTTGTCACGAATGGTTATCAAGCTCTACCGCGCAGACGTCAGCCGATGTGACGTGGCCGGCTGAAAGCTATGTCGATCCTGCTGCAGTCGACATCTTGAATTGTGGAGTAGAATCGGCACAGCTATTAAAAAATTGTTGAGACCCACTATCTTACTGTAAGACGTTTAATTTTGATATGCGACACGTCTTATTTTAAAATTAAAACTCACCTTAAGCACGAAAGAAAAGACCATATACACAGCGTATTCGGCTTTTATACCCCGCTGATAATCTCGAAACTTTCTCTCTTAATCTAGAACCTGTGACGTATTATAACGGTTGATATTTAAAAGGCCTTTTAAAGTTTATGATTTTTATCTGTTTTGTTTGAAACACAGCCATTCTTACGTCAAAATTTTAATGAAAATAGCAGTAAAAATTATTTTATGAAAAATTAAATATAGAAAAAAATTTAGTCCTACGTCAAAACTGTACTTTAATAATAAATTTCAATTCTAAACAACTTTCTTTAATAACATATTTTGTGTACTGTTAAAAGCAAAGGGAGTTTATTCTTGAAAGATTTTTATATTTACCGATTTTCTGAGCACCCTGTACAAGTGTCAGTTCCAATGCCAACCGCATTTTTAATCCAAAAATTTGAGTGGTCATATATCAGTCAATTTTCATCCAAAAATACTGTACAACCTCTTATTTTAAATGAAATATTATCAGTTTTTCTATGAAGCCTATACCTATCTTTACACAAAAAACATTTAATCTTTTGAATAAAATAATTCAACAACCAAATATTCTCTCTATGGACTTTACATTTATTATGGTTTAAAGACTTACCTTTTTTTATCCAAATTCACACACAAAAAGCACCACACACTATAAAATATATGGGCTAATATGAGAACTAAAACAAAAACACACACAGGCAAACTCGTTGATTATATGATAATAATAATTAATTCGGGAATTTAGCAAAATTGAAAAAATAATTGAATCGCGACTATATTTGTCACGACAGTGTGGAAAAGTGTGGTTCATATCGGCACAGGCCGGACATACCAGTCGTTATTTCGCTGACAGGGTTGTTTCAGTCAGCCAAGGTCTATGCCGATTTCAACTAAAAGAATTTGTCCTTGGGTCTAATATGATCTTACGATATAACATAATAATAACAATGGTTTCTATTAAACTCATTTCCTAAATAGCATAGAATTCTTCTAGTAATTAATTAGATCATGTTATACAGGGTGTTAATTAAGTAAAATTTAACAGACAGTGATTTTAAGACAATGCTTCGTTTTCGTGTTAAACTTTTGTAAAAAAATTGATGTTTCGTAAATATCTTAACCCAATTTTTAAAACGCAACAAATATAATAGCCACTTTTTACTTTATAACTGATATTCCATCCGACGGCATTTCTTCTCCATATTTATAGTGTATTTTTATAAAAAATATATAAATATATAACTAAGGTGAAGGGTTGAATTTACCATTCAGTAACAGCAGCAGCAGCAGTCTACAGGATGTTCTTAAAGAAGCGACATGACAACTCTTAAAAGGTTTTTATATCTGTTGGTTTGTTCCTTAATACGTTCTCTCCCAGACCTAGGCTGAACTTTTGCTTTTTCAATACAATTTGATATTTAAAAGAATAAGTAGTTAGCGTTGGTCACATGGGCTTTAATACGAACTTAAGATATATATACAGATGACACGGCAGTATTAAGATAATAATAACAACGGTTTCTATTAAACTCATTTCCTAAATAGCATAGAATTCTTCTAGTAATTAAATAGATAATGTTATACAGGGTGTTAATTAAGTATGTACAATAAATTTAACAGACAATGCTTCGTTTTCGTGTTAAACTTTTGTAAAAAAATTGATGTTTCGTAAATATCTTAACCCAATTTTAGTGACACAGCTATTTATTTCAAACCGTTTGCGAAATATAAGGTGCTAATACGCATGTTTTTTTGTTTAAGAGACCTGAACGGAGCTATGTTCGAATTTCTCATCTTAAGATTATGAAATTTCACACTAATAGCTGAAATATATCAACCGCAGTATTCCTGTTGTTAAATGATACTATGGTGGTCTAGAGGTAACGGGCTCGCTTTGGAATCCAAAGGTTCGGGGTTCGAATCTCAGAGAGCGAGAGACTTTTTTAATTTAAATAAAATTCGAAACCATCTTTAAATTTACCATCAATTGCAGTCTACCTCTCTTCCTTCACTCCGATCTCTATTGCGTATGCGTTTAAATCTAGAAATTTTGAATTTACCGCCAATTTGCCGCGATCTGATTGGTCGAGAGATGTGGCCAATTTGAATGCTACGCTCTGATTGGTCGATGGGCGTGGTCTAAAAGTGGAGTGGAGGGGGTAAAATCCCCCAAAAATTTGCAATCTGAACCTTCATAAGAAAATACATGGGATTTTGGCTCCGTATGAACATAGCCTATCTACTTGCTTTTTCTCCATTTTTCTTATATGCAGTCCAGTGTGTTCCAGAGCCTCTTTCATTGTCTAGATTAATAATACCACATTCTTTATAATGAACACGATGTGGTAAACTATCTCTCATAAATACACCTCGAAAATGTTGAATTTTTAATTTCTTAGCCAATCTTATTAAATCTAAATTAGTAAGAGCTCATTTCGGTAATTTTATCGGTAACGTTTGGAAGTTGGTTGTGTCCTAAAAAAAGACCAAGTCCTTGCTTGTAAGGTCTCATGTACAATCCTTTACCTATAGCTATTTCTTCCATTGCAACATTATGTCGTTTACTTTCTTCAAGCTTTTGCTTTGCATCTTTGGCATCATTCCTGCTGCTCCACCACCTAAAGGACCAAGCGCACTTAAGTCTGCAAATAATGGTATTGGTATTGGGATTACTCGGGCAGCTTTAATATATTTCTTCGTCTTCTTAATTTTATTAACAGCATTTAATGCAATTTTAATAGCATCTTTCATATTCTTCACATTTTTACCCTTTAACGCTACTCGTGCTTGCTTTGCTACATCTTTAAATGATAATGATCCCCCAACTTTTTTAGATTTCACTTTACGTTTACCAGTTATACTTTTTCTTTTCTTAGTTCTTTCTTTAACGCATCCCATTCCTAGTTTAACTTTAGCTTTCATCGCTGTTGCCTTTTCTCCTATAGATGCGTTTGATGATTTAAATCTCTCCACAGCCTTCTCACCCAAAAATTAGATCTGCCTTATGTCGTTGCTCCAAGTTTTTCTCTCTGCTATAAGCCACGTCGTGTTCTTTACAAGCTTCGTCTAAACCATTAATACCCACATCACCTCTTGCTAATCTCTTCGCAAGTTTTGTACCAGGACACAAAATTTATATCCTGGAATATGGAGCTCTACCGGTAAATTGTCTATAACAGAGTTTAATATACCACTACCTGATTTTCTTGCTGTTCGAAGCATTTGGCTTTACAAACTACTCAAGGATGGTGATAATATCAACATCACATTTAATATATATGTAGAGAATCATAGACTAGGCTTTATTTATAGTATTGCTTTCGTCATGCGCATTGTAAAACAGTCAACGGTTTTACCCATTAATAACAATGATATCGAAGAAAAAAAACTTCTGAATAGGCATGGAGAATTGTTACCATCCACAATTCATTGTTTGATTGTTGGCCCATCAAACTATGGTAAAACGAATGTTATGATTAGTTTAATCGAGCAATGGACTGAAGTTTGAAAATATTTATATTTTTTCCAAGCCTCTCTATCAATCAAAATATCAGTATTTAGAAGAGCTTCTAAAACCAATAAAAGGAATTGGACATTACTATATCATTAATTGCGACAACATTCCACCGCCTGAAGATGTAAGTAGTGTAAGTTGGGGAGTTTGAATCCACCCCCCCACCACTTTTTTTTGTTGGCCCCGCCCCCTCCACCCAATCAGAGAGCGGGGAGTTCCCCCTCCACCCAATCAGAGAGCNCCCAAAATTTGATCTGCCTTATGTCGTTGCTCCAAGTTTTTCTCTCTGCTATAAGCTACGTCGTGTTCTTTACAAGCTTCGTCTAAACCATTAACACCCACATCACCTCTTGCTAATCTCTTCGCAAGTTTTGTACCATTACCACAAAATTTATATCCTGGAATATGGAGCTCTACTAGTAAATTATTTATAACAGAGTTTATATACCACTGCCTGATTTTCTTGCTGTTCGAAACATTTGGCTTTACAAACTACTCAAGAATGATGATAATACCAACAACACATTTAATATATAAGTAGAGAATCATAAACTAGGCTTTATTTATAGTATTGCTTTCGTCATGCGCATTGTAAAACAGTCAACGGTTTTACCCATTAACAACAATGATATCGAAGAAAAAAAACTTCTGAAGAGGCATGGAGAATTGTTACCATCCACAATTCGTTGTTTGGTTGTTGGCCCATCAAACTGTGGTAAAACGAATGTTATGATTAGTTTAATCGAGCATCCTAATGGATTGAAGTTTGAAAATATTTATATTTTTTCCAAGTCTCTCTATCAGTCAAAATATCAGTATTTAGAAGAGCTTCTAAAACCAATAAAAGGAATTGGATATTACTCCTTCATTAATTGCGACAACATTCCACCGCCTGAAGATGTAAAACGAAACTCAATATTTATTTTTGATGATGTAGCCTGTGATAAACAAAATGTTATGAGAAATTACTTCAGTATGGGACGTCATAAAGAAGTAGATTGTTTTTACCTTTGTCAAACGTATACACGTATTCCAAAACATCTAATACGTGATAATGCAAATATGTTGATAGTCTTCAAGCAAGATGATTTAAATTTGAAGCATATATATGAAGATCACATTAATACCGATATGAGTTTTAA